GGGGGGGGGGCTGCCACCGCCAGGAAGGAAGGGAGGGCTTGCTCTGCGGAGGGGGATCATGGGAGTGGAGACCCCCATCCCTCGACTCCTTACCCAGTTCAAAGGCAACACTGGGAGGCACCGGCACCCGCAGAACCTGCTCAAGAGAGACAGGAGTGAAGAGGGTGGGGTTGTTGCCCAGGACCCAGCAGTGTGGGGACCAAGGGGAGTCCCGTGGCTGAGAGGGGAATGGGGCACAGTGTGGCCACAGGGGGAGTGGCAGAGAGAACAGGTGACTCAGGTGGGAATGGCGGGGTACAGTGTCTGTGGAGGAATGACAGGGGATGGGGGGACAGTACAACCAGAGGACATGGGCAGCCCAGGTGGCCAGAGGGTCCAAAGGTGAACACTGCCCTCTGCTGGCCGGGGATGGGAGGTGCAGAGGGGCTGGCGGGGGCAGGGGAGAGGGAGGTTGCAAGGGGTGTCTCACCGCTGTCTTCTCCAGGAAGCTGTGGTAGAAGTCCAGGAAAGCCTTCTTGGCCTCTTTGGGGCCCAGGGTGCCCAGCATGTCCGCGTGCAAGCTGCAGAGCTGGGGGAGAGGCAGGGATGACTCCCCTGTCCCCCCACCCCACCCGCCAGTCCCTTTGGAGAGCCTGGAGCTGCCTGCAGGTCACCTCCCCGGGAAGGGCTCCGCTCTCCCCACAGGCCAGCGTTTCCTGCTGCCCTGTCTCAATGCCGAGTCCAGGAGCTGCCTCCTGGCATCACCCAGCTCTGGTTCCCACTGCCCTTTAAAGCCCACGGAGACCCCACAGACGGCGCTCACCAGGGGTCCCAGCTCAAACTGCTGCAGGGCCCCATGTTGCAGGAGGGCCAAGAGGTGGGCCGGGCGCCGCTTCACCTGCTCCAGGCTCTGGAACTGGCTGTTTTGCTCCTCAGAATTCTGGGAGTACAAGGGGAAGTAGGGGGGTTCTTGGGTTCGTCCGGACCCCATGCTTCGCACTTCCGGAGGGGTCCCGGCTGGGAAGAGCCCAGAGGTGTGGTGGGGGTGTTAAGGCGCGTAGCAGAGGCAGGTGTGGGGGGGGATGAATGGGTGAGAGACCATCATCATCACAGTAGTGGGTGACAAAGAGGAAAGGGGGCTCCCCTGCTGTGGGGTGGGGGGACACAGAGGCTGGGGAAGGAGAAAGAGGGGGCTCTGAAGGCGGAGTCTCAAGGAGCCCAGGAGAAAGAGGGGGCTCTGAAGGCGGAGTCTCAAGGAGCCCAGGAGGAAACCCCCCCGCCCCCCCCCCCCTGCCTCCCGGGTGCTCCCCCCTCCACTCACGGTCTCCAGATCATTCTCGAAGTCCTCATCCTCCGCCCCGATGATGCTGGGCACCAGCCGGAGGGGCCCTGGGGCCTGTGGGCAAGTGGGAGTGACCTCAGCCTGCAGGGCTCCCCACCCTGCAGCCCCAACCCCCTGACCCCGGCAGTGGACTGGCACCACTCACTCACCGCCCCTCGGGCCACGTCTTCCGCCTCCATGGGCTGGGCAGGGCTGGGCAAGAGAAGGGGGGAAGTTACTCAGAGATTCCTGGCCCAGGTGTGAAGGTGCGGCAACAACCTCCCCCATCCGGGCCTCCGGCTCAATGGGGCCTCTGTGTGGCCACAAAGAGCCCTTCAGAGGCCAGCGCAGGGTGGGGAGTCCCAGGACAGGGAGAGCCTGGTGGGGAGGGCCCAGGGTCAGGGTCCACTGGAGCGAGCGCTGTGTCTGGGTGCCTACCATTGGTGGTCCCAGAGTCTAAGGAGGAGGGGTTCTGCAGGGACGGGGCTCCTGGCCACAGGCAGAGGAGAAAAGGAGACCAGTGGTGTGAGGGGGCTCTCCTTGGAGTGAGTGACAGACAGGCTTGGGGCAGGATGCTTGCTGCCTCTGACCCCACCAGCCCCACTTCCTGTGACAACAGGAAATCACACCGCAAACCCCCCCAGCCCCCAAACCAAACCCATTGCCCCATGGCGGCAGATCCTGACAGGACGACCCCGGTGGCCCTATAGCATGCGGTAGACCAGCTCCTTTGCTGAGCCCGGGGCTGCTCAATGGGAGTACACGGCCTTCTCTTTCTTCCTCGGAGTGGTGGATGGGTTTGAACCACTGACCTGGCAGTTAGCAGGCCAACACTTAATCTGTTCCCGGACCAAAGCTCCCCTCAGGGGGCCGCATGACTTCCGGTCCCACGTGGCGTACTCTACTGTCTGCCCACCTGTGGCTTCTGCAGCTGTCCCCACCCTTCTGAATGGTCGCAGGCGCTGTCTCTCCAGCTGTCACTTGCCCCATCCCTGCCACTGTCCCCCCTGACTTTGGCCTCCCCTAGAGCCTTGCCCTGAGCCTCTCCACCACCCACTGTGCCTTGAATGAGTCTGACTAATGCCACGGGCACCAGTGAGAAGGGTAGGGTGCACCAAGGACTGCTCCCCACAACCCAAGGTTATTTATAACCCTTGGGCGTCTGGAGACCCACCCTTCCCTCTTCCACAGGCCTCCTGCTGAGCAAAGGGTGGCGCTAGGGTCCTAGTTCCACTTCTTGAACAAGGATGCTTTCTGGAGTGGCTCCATGGGGCACCACATGGGCAGCCCTTTAATTCTTGTCAATCCAGGCACAAGGTTGCACAATGTCGCCCCCAGAAGATCTCATGGGAATACATGTGTCAGGAGAACTCTCTTAAGGAGGGCCAGCCCTACAGGACACTTAGGCCACGCTGGGTCCTGCTCCACCCTTGCTCCTTGCCCCCACCCCCAGCTTTTATTAGGTCCACAGAGGGGTGGAAAAATGTCTGCCAGGCCAACTCCTGGGCTGAACAAAGTGGCCACGGGACAGGGAGGGTCCTCGCTCGCTCGTCCCACTGGGGGGAGGGCGGGGGTGGGGGCGGGGAGGAGGGTCAAGATGCCCGAAGGGAAAAGGAGTGGCTGTCCATGATCCGAGCTGTTGCTCAGGCCTTGAACTGTGCACCCAACCCCTGTCCCCTTTATGCTCACAGAGAGAGAGAGAGAGAGAGAGAGAGAGAGAGGACTAGCATGGCGCAGCCACCCAGTACTCCGCGGGGATGTGCCGGGCACAGCACTGTGGTCTTGAACTCAGTGACCCCAGGTGCCAGCCAGTCGGTTCAGACTCACAGTGACCTTATGCACAACAGGAGACACCGCCTGGTCCTGCGCCACCCTCACAATTGTTCCTGTGCCCCGCACTGCCCTCTGTTGCAGCTGTAGGGTCAATGACCCCGGGAGGTCACACGTCTGCTTCTTCCCATTTCACAGAGGGGGACAAGGAGGACTGGCAAGGCCCAGGAATCAGATCTGGGCAGCTGGCCTCTGGAGTGTCGACCTTTAGTCACCAGGACAAAGGGGCCCCAGCCCACTCTGTAGGAACCCACGGCTGAGCCAAAGCAATGAGATCTCCTCGTGACCCTCGGATATGGTGGCCTGGGAAGGGCAAGCTGGGGTAACTCAGCTGCTCCACAGAGGCCTGGAGCTCAGAGGGGGTTCTGGGAGACTGGTTGCTTAAAAAACAGGTGGGGAGGAGTGACGGCGATCCAAAAGGCCTGGGAATGGTCATTTGAAACTGTCCAGGGGTAGATGGAGCTTTGTGCCTGGGGGGTCAGTACAGGGTTGGAGTCTCAGGGGAATGAGAACCCACAGCAAAATGGGTGCAGAATGGGGACTCCATTGGCAGGGCCAAGGACCTCTGGGAGCCTTCCCCCCAAAAACCAAACTCGCTGTGGTTGAGTTGATTCCAAGTCCTGGTGGCCCTGGAGAGAACTGGGTGCTCCAGTGGGTTCCAAGATGGTAATTCTCTACCAGAGCAGAACACCCCATCTTTCTCCTGGCTGGGTGCTTTAAAGGACCTAAAGTAACAGAAAGGTCCCAGGAAGTCTACAGGGGACCGTGGAACCTATAAGACCCACTGGTTTGACACTCGTTGGTGAGTCTATGTCTGGGGGCTCTTTGAGTGGGGCATACAGGTAACAGGAACAGTTCACCCAAGCGCTGGTGGTTCAAACCCACCAAGGAGTGCTCAAAAAAAAGGTTCCGGCGGGCCTGCTTCCAGTGGGGCAGTGCTGCTGGGCAACACACGGGGACGTCCTGGGTGGGAAATGGATTTGGTGGCAACCGCCGGGTTTTTTGCCCTTTTTTGGGGGGCGAGGAGGAGGTCTACATTTGTGGTCATCAACCGGAAATGATGACCTCACACACAACCAGGAACACTTGACATTTTGTACCATCTCATTCCTATCTAGTAGGAATGCTGTTAAACATCTTTTAAAAAAATCTAACATCTTAATATGCACAGGACGGTCCCATCCCTCTTCCAAAACGAACAGCCTGTCCCTAACTGTCAACAGCTGTGGAGGCTGAGAAACCCTGGTCCACAGGCGTTGGCTTGGCCGCTGCCTGGTGCAGGCTGAAATGGTCCAAAGCTGTGGCGATCTTACAGAAGGGTCCTCTTGTGGGACCAGTGTGCTCAGCATGTACCCGAGATCTGCAAAGGCCCCTGGGGGCCTTCGAGATCCTGAAATACAGAAGGATGTCCCTAAGGGGCCCTTAAGAATGCATGAGGCCCCGGATTCTATTTGATACACGGCGCTCTGCAGAAATTTGGGGTTCATGCGAGGTCAGGATTGTGCAGGGGGATAGCCAGCCCACAGGGCCTCCGAAGACTTCAAGGGGCTGCAGAAATCTAGAGGTGGGTCCGGAGACTGGGAGGCTATAGGGCCCGGATTCTAATTCTAGAGGATGCTGTGGCTGAGGGGCCTCACGGCTGTAAGGCTGGTCTCCATGGGAGTCTAGCAGGAACCGGGGGCGGGGGGTGGGGGCGCTGCCTGTAAGACCTTGCAATCTATGCAATCTGCAGGGAACGTGGCGGGTCCACAGCAGCCCCAAATCTTAGTGGACGTGGCGGGTCTACCCGAGCCCCAAATCCTACAGGGGATGTGACGGTGTGAACGGCCAGGCCACGCTGGGGCCGACTCTGGGAGGCAAGCTCTGACCCCACCCGGGGTCGCGTTCCTCACCTGCTCCAGGTCGGAGGAGAAGCCGCCGCCGCCGCCGCCGGGACCGAAACCTCCGCGCGCCCGCTCCGGGCTGCCCCCCACCCTCGCGGCCGAGCCGCTCTAGTCGGCCTGGGCGTTCAGCTCCACTTCTCCCACCAGCCGCTCTAGCCAACTCTTGTCTGGCTTATGCCTTCGCGACTCCACTCCTCCCGTCGCCCGCTCTAGCGCTCCACGGCGCCACGCTGGCCAGATAGGGCCGCTCTGGCCCGTCTTGGAGGGCTGTCGTTTCCGTATCTCGACTGTCCGCGTCACTCTCCCGGGCCCCGCCCCGCAGCTCTCCGCTCCCCGCCCAGAGGCGGGGATGGTTCCAGCCCGCGCAGCGGGGCTCGGTGAGACATCCTAGCCGCGCACGGCCTTCGGTTCCAGGTCTCATCCCGGACGGAGGCTCTCCTCCCTACCCTGTCTTCCCACTGGGGCGAGCGGAGTGCTGCTCAACGCTTGTAAACCTTCAGTCCTTTCCTCTGACGCTGGGAGGCAAAACTCCCCGGGGCTGAGCCCACCGTCGCCTTAGTCATCCCATCTGTACAATGGGGGGAAGGCTCCGGGTCTCGTCTACGCCCATTTCCTAGGACACGGTCAGCGATCGCAAAACGCTTTCAAACAGACTCTACTGGCAACTTTCGGCTTCAAAGCGGCCTCAGGCGCGGCTCTATAACCAAAGCGTGCTTCCACCAAAGATGCTTTGGTAACTTTCCTTTTTAGGCAGTCTCAGGGCCTGCCGGCCTGGAGCAGGGTGCTCAGCAGAAAGCACCTGCGAGTTTCAGCATCCACACAGCCGCAGGATGAATGCGCCCCGGAGCGAGTCGGTTCAGCTCCCCGGGCCTCAGTTTCCCCACCCGAACAATGCGGGTGATGACCGGCCCTCCGCTGGGCCACTGGGAGGGTGTGACCCCGGCCCCGCACCCAACATTTCCACCCACGGAGCGCTCG